AATTTCTAATGGAAAGTCACCATAAGAATAGCGTATACCAAGCTGTACGATTTGTTTGACCACTTTTCTCTCTCTCTCTCTTTCATAATTTATCCCGTCTCATCCGAGGAGACGTAGTCTGACCTCATCCTCGAGAACTTGTCCCACTTTACTGGTTCCCTTTCCTCCTCTCCTTTGGAAACCGGACATCTCGGATGCTGCCGTCTTGTACGGCTGTCGTAATATTGGTCGGCGACTACAAACACGATCGCGAAATTATTTTATGGTATAAGCCTACTTGCGCAACGAAGAAGATTAGGATATCGCTGGCACAGAATCAGTGTTTCTGTGTCCCATACGTAAATATAAATAACGAGCGTCTGAATTCTCGACTTGCAATTTTTAATTTGAATTTTTAAAAAGTTAACAAATAATCCGCCAGTCAAATGTGTTGTGAGATGTTTGAAGATAATTACGTTATTACAAGATTCAAAATTGCTGTAATCGAAAAGAGTTGGGTGCTATAATATGTGGTAGACGTTTATTTCCTTCGGTACGCCAGCTCTGCAATTTATTCGCACAACAGCAACAATCAGGAAAGTTCATGAACTCTGGAATATCCTAAGTTTGAGATGAATCTACGCGTTCGGCTAACGTGTTGGTAGCTATCCGTGATACGTACACAGTTCACGAAACGGAGCACGCGACTGTCTCTGGTTGCTTTAAACGACCAATGTCTATTTACGTTTTCTTCCTCGTGCGACCGGTTGAACCATCACGACAAGCTACGGCGAGCGTGGCGAACGTTGAAAGCGATCTGACCTCCATGGGTTGATCGTTCCGGTTCAAAGTTTCCCTATCGACCTGTCTTATGTCGTTAGTCTTTCTTCTATCGGTCTGCTTTCTATACCCGCTCGCTTAAAAATAAATCGACTGCAGCCGAGAATCGGCTATACATAGCACAAATTTGTGAATAATAATCGGAGAAAGTGTAAGCCAATTTTGGCAGCGTTCGTAACATTGTTTAAATAATATGATAAATCGTCGTGTATTAAAACGAATTTATAATCAATTATTTTTAAAGTTATTGGAGTCACGGTATACAGAATGTTTCAAGTGTTAATTTTAATTTACATAAAAGACTGCAATAAATTTGAAACTTGAAGAAATAAAACTGTAAACCCAGATTTGTTAACATACTAACATCTGTATGATTGTACGAAATGTAAGTTTAATTATTTGCGAGTGTCTTTACGATATTACTTCTGAACTATTTGCCCTATAAGAAACAGAAAGGAGAAATAATAACGAATTGTAATGAAATTTTCTTAAAATTAATTGAAAAATATGATTTCGCAATTTACTTAGTTTCCTAATTCCGTGGGAAATCTATTGTTAAAATTGAGACACAAGTTTCAGAATACTCTGCATTCGTTCTGGTTCTTAACCCGTAAACTTTCGTCCGTCGTAAATACATAATGGTGGAAATTTCCTGTTGCTACGTTGATTTTTACAGCCGCACAGTTACCTTCCGTGACGCCGTATAATGAGATCCATTAATATACGGTTTAGCTTCTATCTTTGCTTATCTTTTTTCGGAACAGTTATTCACAGGCGGACACATGAACGAACGCACGAGTGCTCTGCCATCCGGCATCGTCACGAAAACTGAAGAAATCACGACATTTGATATAGAATCGGCTGGAATTAAACTTATGTAATCGATGTCTCGTATTTCTGCTTACAATGAAGATGCACTCATTCTCCAAGTACAGAATGATTTAAAATAATATCTAAGAGTTGATAAAGAATAACGAACTAATTTTGAAGAACCATTTTTGAAGAAATAAATCATATACGGTGGTATTTCTACTTTAACATTGTTTTTAATTCAAACAAAATTATGTAGGTGGTCCGGCACTGATAAGATTATATTTTCAAAAACCAAGCACTTTTTAAACAAATTTAAATTCAGGATTTATATATAGCAGCCAAGTTAAAAAAAACATAAAACGATTTCTGAAATCTTTATTTACGTAATAACATTAAATAATAATAAAAAAGTACGTAGGTAAAAAAAGTGGATAAAGATAGAAGCAAGGAAGAAATATAGATGACATTGACTCCGAGATAGCTGATTAATGTTACTCATACCCTGGTATCAATATTTCACGATCGATATCTCTCCAGTAATCGAATCTGTTACTGTTCGAAAAATATTTAGCATCGATGCAAATAAAAATGCGTGCGTGTGTCGCTAGTTTGGACGATTATGCGGGTAGCGGAGTCTCGCTCTCACAACACCGGTGACATAATCGCGGATCATCGTGTCCCAGAATCCTGAATGTTATTCACGAAGGCGAGAGTGGCGTGCGTTTCGGCAAATAACATTTCCGCTCGTTTAAAACAGTATTTATTTTGGATGTCGTTGGCGGGCGTGAGCGTTTGACAAACATCATACAAAATTCACTTTACGCGATGTAATTTTGGATATTTTCGAATGCGAGAATATATTTGGTGGACTTTTTCATGCGCATCATGCCTCCCGATCGGCTGAATTTAAAATTAGAAATGATACAAACCTCTTACAAACGGTTGAAATTACGCACTAGATTAAATGACGTCGTGCATTGTAAAAAACTAAAATGAATCATACGAATGAAGACTAAGCCTTAGCTTGTTGTAATCATAGTGTCGTATACAATTATATTTGAATATTATAATTAGACAATAAAGAATTTTAGTTACACTAACGATTATCTTTATTTAAAAAATTTTTAATATTAGAATCATTAGATAAATACTTGTTACGTTTAAAGTAATAATTTTTTAATCATTTTTAGAATATATTGGCTATTACATAAGATCATTTAAAATAAAAATAAGAGGACATAAGGGACATTCAGTTTCTCTAAATCTGTTGGACATACAAATTTGTCAATAATTATACACTTTCCAGGAAACGTTAACTTCATAAATTAGACACTGAGAAGTCAACTTGAAAGAAGATTATTATCATTAAAATCATTTGACTCGTAACGAAACTCTTTGTATTTCAAAAGTAGTACTTGAACTGCTAATAAGTTGATCTACGTTATTATTTTTTGATGTTTATGACAGTGCAGATGAAGGACTCTCGAAAATTGTGTAATCAAACGCGTCATAGACACTACGTCTAGTATTTTGCCGAACGATTTACCGTAACCGTGACACTCGCGATGAATGCTAATGAGAATGCGTGGGAATATCCTGCCTTTTCAATGTTACCGGGCTGCACCGTAACGCAACGTGATCTTCAACTTTCGCCCACGTCCCTGTGGCGATCAAACATCTACCGCGGATAAAGCGACGTTAAAGACGATAGATTTTTTACAGTTTCCCATATATCGCAAAGGTTCAATAGGTCAGTATTCTAGGCTGCTATCGCATGTCTATAAATTCTACGAATTTTCTTTATGCTCATTAAAACGTGCCATCTTCCATCGATTTTAATAATTAATATTTTACAATAAAAATTACTCTTCTTAGTTATTTTGTATAAGATCTATAATTATCGGATGCCCTTGTAAATGCAATTTTGCGAGTCAATAATTAGGAATAATTTTCGCTTTTAGCGAATATTACATCGCCTTTAACGTCTTCTTATCTTTATACGTACGCGCGAGTTTCAGAATACGTCCTCGTTATTCTTATCGAAAGGAGAATTAGTGACGCGTAATGTCGAAAAGAGCAAGAGCTCTTCTAATATCTTCTTAAATGAAACGCAACTGCGAATTGATTAAACTCGCAAATCTGTATCTCCGAAGGCAACATTCGCGTTTGCACAGTAAATTAACAAACTTGTATCAAGAAATCTGATTTATGCAACGTTGTTCAAATGTGCGTGAGATCAAACGAAAGAAAACCTTTGACGAGTCTCTGACTCGTAAATAAGAAGGACTGCATTGAATGAAGTGATGTGTTTTCGTTAATTGCAGACAATTTTGCTGATTGCTGACAGTCACATCGCGCGTTGAAATCCACCTCGTGTGTTCGCAAAAATGACCGCATTACGACACAGCGATATAATATATCGCGACGAGATCATGTGGAAGACTCGATGAAAAAGAACGTTGTTTCAAGGCAATGGTATTGGTGTCATCTACTGGTGACATCAAATGCCGTTTTATTTCGGGAACCGTATAAGATTTTTGCTTCCAGGAATCATCGTCATTTTGTAAGCGCACATGCGTCAGCGAATTAAAAAATCCGAATTGAAATTGCACACATTATGGCTCGAAATATTTGCATTGAAAGATAAATATCATCTTCGCATTTTTCACACACATAGGCGGATATAAAGGAGTTATAATCTAAAATAGATTGCACATTATTAGACATAAGTGAGATATTTTCGCATGAAAAATTTTCCAAAGGAACGTATAAGGTAAAAATAGCATGCGGAAAGAAGCTCGCATTTTGTAAAAGAGTATATGAAAATCTCTGTGCAATGAAAGCATAATATATTTCGCCTCGTCTGTCGACTTGTTCGATGATTAGTTTTTCCTCGTGCAGTCAGACCGTGTTAAGGACGTGCATATCGCGCAAATAATTTACGTGACAGATTAATGTTCACCTCGCGATCACGCGCCTCCGTGTGTACGCCAGTTATACATTCATTATCGCGCATATGCTTCGTAGTGTGACGGCACCATAACTATAGGATGGTATAGTAAAAGTGACGGCAGACTTAAAAATAAAACAGCGTTAATGTGTTTCGCATAATCCTTATAATTGATTTCGACGATTCGTAAATGCCCACGAGAAATCGCGAACGCTACTCGATGTGTACTTCTTCAGCTCGACGTTCATCATCCAATATACTCATCTGAATGAATAATTTATACCCGTTCTCTAAAAACACACATGCCGCCATTTCAAGAATCAGTTGTTTAATCTTGTGGAAATGTATTCCTTTTTTTTTCAATTAATTAATTTTTACAGCACAAATATTGATATTTGATTCTCGTTTCTTCTTTCAGACGAACAAGAACGTGTGCAGAAGAAAACCTTCATAAATTGGATCAATTCTCATCTGTCGAAGGTAAGCGTGTGTCGAGAAGTATTTTTTGTCATCGTCAGGAAACGTAATGAAACAGACATTCACATGCAGCAAATCGCGCCCTGATATCGTGCTTCATTTCGCCAGCGGGTACTTGATAACGATAACGATAACGCAACGTTAGTTCTCGATAGGCCGGCTCTAGTTCTTTTCTCATTCAAAGTTATGCAATGCTCTTCATCCTTACGTGACGCGTAATAAACGTGACGCGGGTTACTTCTCGTATCGTGCTATCGAAACTTGAACGGCTGATCTAGCCCGTACCTGGCTCTTGAATTTCCGATGCTCCCCTACTTCCGCATCCTTCAGAACTTGCCTTACTGCGGAAACTCCACTCGTCGTGACATGCATGCATCAAAGGCAACGAAGTTATTGAAGTCGAACGCCCTGCTCGTCCTCGCACCGAATAGCCGTTTTGGTAGAAAGATTGTGTATCGTCAAACGACGAACAAATAATGTTAATCTACGTAGCGCAGTTATTGATTCGAAAATCAAAACTATCGGGAAAACAATGAAAATGTTTAGTTTATTGTTATACAAATTATAATCAGCGTTGAATTTACTTAAAGACATTATATGTACCTATATTCTTCTATAAGCATTAAATATTAGATTATTAAAATATTAAATATGGTGTAAAAACTTGGTTGATTATTCATTGATTAATTAATTTCATCTATTTTTGAGTTAATTTTTAATTTAATGGTGATATATTCTTAAATGCTTTTGTATATACCTTTGAAATGGTGTACGTTTTGAAAGCTTTTTCATGAGATTTTTTTATTTGTATGTTTGAAGAACACATGATCCGTCGCGATTACATAATATATAAATATTCTTTTCTGTAGAGAGTTCCATCGCTTCATATTGACGATTTAATCGAGGATCTGAAAGATGGCACGCGACTTCTTGCGTTACTAGAAGTTCTTTCAGGGGAAAAACTGGTAATAAAATATTTGCGCTGTCATTTGTGAAATAAACATTAAAAATTAATCGTCTAAAGTGCGCGTAATCTTTCAGCCCGTAGAGAGAGGTCGTAATTTAAAGAGACCGCATTTCTTGAGTAACGCCAATACCGCGTTGCAATTTTTACAGAGCAAAAAAGTGAGTATTTTCGCTACTCTACCGGCAAATTGAGACAATCAATGTTCCATTTCTGATTTAACATTTTTTCTTGCAGATCAAATTAGTAAATATAAACTCGTCCGATTTGGTCGATGGACGACCGCCAGTAGTGTTGGGCCTAATATGGACTATCATCTTATATTTCCAGGTATTTAGCGTAATGTTCAGATATTTTAGTTATACGTAATGACAGTTATGTAAAAGAGCACCAGTATACCTAGTATGCGGTAGCTGCTTAAATATAGCGCTCGTATCACGTATCAAAGTACTTTAACAAATATGCAGCAGCACCACATTTTTCTACGCCGTAACAAGGATTTGTATTTTCTAATTTTCTTGCACAAGCTGTTAAGTGTTATTAAACTAAATTTTAATCCTGTGATATATTACATAATTCTATTCGCAAAGTAAAGTTTAAATTATGTTAATTGGGGTAAAAATTAAGTATCTTTTTCTACAAATCAAATAATTGGGATCGCTCGAATGAATTAATTCTCGTCGCGAGTAAAGTAAATCATGTTACTTTGCTAACCGTATGTATTCCAATAAACAAGCTACGATCGAAGGATCGCAAACGGGTGAGTAGTAAAAAAAAGCAAGATCGTGAATGCGATGAATGATTTTGTTCGTTCGAACAGAACAAGATGTATTGCACTTGCATGATATTGCGCATTCTATTATGCACGCTAGATTATCTTTAGGCTCTTGACAAGGAGAGAAAACATCGTACCAGTCCTCGACATCTTTTTTTAGATCGAAGAGAATACGAGAGCCCTCGAATATCTTGGACACACCTGGGGCAGTCAGAGCAGCCTCGAAAGTCTCGGCTCGGCGGCGAGCGAAAGGAAACGCATCAGCAGTGAAAAATGGAAGCAAAGCGCACGGAAAACGTTGCTTCAATGGGTCACCAACGCCTTGCCCAAGTCAGTATTCCGTCGAGTTACTATTTATATAATTATATAACATTTTCTGTTACTATACGACGTCGAAATGGATTTCTCAGGGACGTTGGTATTCAAGTTCGAGATTTCGGAGAAAGTTGGAGAGACGGAAATGCCTTCTTAGCCATCATCGATGCTATAAAGGCCAACTTAGTAAACATAGCAGCTATGAGAGAAGCATCGAACAAAGCTCGGCTGGAGACAGCCTTCCAGGTTGCCGAGATCGAACTAGGCATTGCCCGATTGTTGGATCCTGAAGATGTAGACGTACCGCAACCTGACGAAAAGTCTATCATGACATACGTCGCCCAATTTTTGCACAAATATCCGGAACCAGGAAATACGGCTCCTGATTCCTTCGCGGCTGTACAAGAAGAATACGACGGTCTACTTAAATGGCTAAATGAGAGAGTCAGGCATCTCGAACAACTTGATAGAACAAACGCCTATCCACAAAGTTATCCGGTACTTTCATAATATGACTTTAACCGATTGTAAATCTAATTTTTGATGAATTAATATGATTACATAAAAAGATTATTAAAATTAATGTTTTAAAAAACTTTATGATATTTTAAGGATTAGAAAGAGATACGAAAGTATGAATAAAAATTTGTTATTCCTTACATTCTTTTTTCAGGAATATATGCTGTTTAGAGCAGAGACTGATGAGAAATCAATTATATATAAAAAGATGCAAAGTTTGGTCGATACACCTAGTATGATAAGCATCACACGAGATTCTTGGAGACATATACAAATGTTGTGGCAGCAAATGGAACTCTTCGTAGGTTTTTCTGCAGTTTTTCTGCTCAACAAGCAGAATGTGAATTATATTGAAGCTCTTTTCAACAAGTGTCATTCTTTTCTAGATGCTGCACTGGCTCTGGTTGTTAGATTCAACATTGCCGGGAGAATTAGGAGAAGTCGGTAGATGGTTGGCGAGAGCCGAAGCTCTCTTACACTCGGACAATAATATACCGGAAGAAATGTCAGAAAACACAGCGAATATAATCTCGAGCAAGTTGGAAGATCATAAAAAATTCTTCCTCGATTTACCGACAATGACGGAGAAATTCCAACATGCCAAGAACTCACCGTTGGCGAGACAAGTTCGGCCTGAACAATTAGATAATATGTCCGCGCGCTTCGATAGCTTGCCCACTCGCGCCGCTAAGAGAAGAGTGAAATTAAAATTCTTAGAGCACAAATGTTGCCTGATTGCTTTCCTACATCTCGTTGAGACCAAACTGAAAGGCTGGAATGTCAAATACGGCACGGAGGAGAAAGTACATCAGATGTTAGACCAATATCGCAACTTTGTTTCACGAAATAGGATATTCCAGGAATTTCAGAAGGCTTATTTGGACATGCAGCAAGTTGCAGAGGAATACAAGCGTGACGGTGATATTGGTAAATAAAGATACCCCAGTTGGTTATTAGTTGATATACATTTAACTGCAATTACCAATAATGCGTTTACAGAATAATTAAATTGAGTGACTCTAGTTAATTCAAATATAATAAATTCTTTTTTATATTAAAATAGAATTCACTCATTACGCTCATAAATTCGTGCTTTTCAGATCGAGAAGAGAGCCTTAATATCGATCGCTTTATGCGCGAGACGGCCGAAAAATGGAAGAACGTGTCGATGGATCTGCGCTGCGCCCAAAGTATGCTTGAGGAAGTTGTCGCATATTGGCGTCGTTGGACCATCATTTCAGACGAATTCGAGGCATGGCTACATCGCGCTGAACCCGCCTTAAATCTTGCCGAAGAGGAAAGGATGGAGTTCTTTCAAGACATCAGCGTGTGGAAGGATAAACATCAGCAGTTATCGGATACTGTAAGCTTTCTGATTGCCACATCCGACGAAGCGGTCGCATTTCGCCTGAAGGAACGTTATACGAATCTGACAACAAGATGGGAACAGCTATTCCCAGAAGCCAAACAGTATATGCACGCAGGTGATCTCATTCGAACGAGAAAGGACTACAAGGCGGGAATAGAGACTCTGCAGAACTGGCTAAGAGACGCCGAGGTTGCCTTATCGACCACTGGATTGAGCTCTACGGAACGGATCAAGGCTTACGGAGAGAAATTACAGACTCTTCATAACGAAGTCGAGGGGATTGAAAATCTTTTCAAGAATATCAGTAAGAAATTCCAGACTCTTATCCAGGACTTGTCCCGCGATGAAGTTGACAAGATGATGAACACTCTGAAGAAGGAGAAAGAAGCGCTTGTTAAGGTACGTGCCTTAATACCGATGCAATTGCACTTATATCACCAATTATTGGTGCAACAAGAATCCCTAGAAGCAGGACAAAAGGAGATATCCGCGTGGCTAGATGAAGCCGAGAGTTTTCTGGCCAATATCAATCTCGCGGGTGGTAGAGATGCTGCTCTGGCTCAATTGGATCGTCATAAAGTCTTCTTTTCGAGGACGCTCTACTACAAATCCATGCTAGAGTCTAAGAACAAAGTGTTCGCTAATATCGTCAAGGCTGTGGACAGTCACGCCGACGTGGAAACTGCTGAAGGTGGAGCTACTTTAAGAGGACTCAACGATCGATTTGTTAAAGTCTCTCAAGCGGCACAAGTCTGGGAACAACGTTTGCAAGAGTCTGTGCGACGCTGGACAAAGTTTAAAGAATGCGAGCGGCAAATCTCCGAATGGCTCTCAGTTGCCGAGGCAATGATCAATGAGAAGCATATCGATAACCGTCAATCTGTTGAATATCATAAAAACTTCTTTGGTAAAGTTAAGGAAAAATGGATACAGGATCTCGTCAAGGCTGGTCAAGATCTTCGAAATGCATTACCAGTTGATCAGCAACTCTCCATCACAAACACAGTGGAGGCTCTTCAAAATCGTTGGAGAGAAGTACTGACCTTTGCGCCGCTTCATCTAATGAGACTCGAGTTCCGTCTAGATGAGGCTAGTTTTCTTCAATATCTCAAAGAAATCGAGATGGAGATCAATTCCGAGCAGCAAGCACTCATCAACAACGATGATGTAGACAGTATTCAGCAGCGTAACAGAGAATTTTTCGTGAACCGCGGCACCGTTCTCGAGGTTGAGCGTTGTCTACAGACTTTGAAGAAAATCAGCGATGCCTACAGCAAGCTCAAACCGAGAGACACCAGCCTTGCTGATGCTGCGCAAAATGCTGAACGTTTATGGGAAGAAACCGCGCAGAAAGTAGAGAACTTGAGGGAACAGTTGCGCGAAGTTCCACAACAATGGGCGACTTACAGACAGAAGTGAGCATTTGTTTAATTTTGCGTTATAAAGTGATATGTCAATTTTTTCCTTTAACTACTTGAAACTTTTGCAATTGATTCTAGGTTCGATGAAATGGTGCATTGGATGGACCATGTTGACAGCACGTTGAGAACTATTTTACACGAGGTCAATACTCTAGAAGAATTCGAGAAGGAGAAGACTATATTTCAGGTAAATATCAGTCAGTTTCATATGCAATTTTTCTATCATGTCATTGAAATATTTAAACATTTTACTTCGTCTTTTCCGCATTCTCTCTGGATAGCTTCAGACCTTGACGGTAAATATACGCGCACCTCTAGCTGTCCTTATTCCTCATAAGATTGCTCAAGAGTTCGATGGCGATTACTCTTGGAATAAAAACATTTTTAACGAATACCGATTAATCGAATTTGATCTATAAGCTAATAATTTCAAAATTTTTCTCTGAGGAACAGCATTTTCTTTATTGTCTGTCTTTCATCTCTTTCATCAACGGTTGATACATCGATTTAGTCACACGTAACAAATATCGCAAAAACGCTATTAACTGTTCACAGAAAATTTGCCGTGAAGCTGACAGCAAGCGTGAAGAAATGAAATGGCTAGTTCAAACTCTCGACAACCTAACATTGAATCGTTCGGACCGCGATGCACTTACAGCACAGCAGAATTTGGAACAACTGATAACTCGATATAAGAATCTGATACCGACGATCGAAATTACAATGACCAAGACAGACATCTATTCAAAGAGTTACACATATCGCAAAGAAGTACGCGAGGTGTGTACCTTATTGCGCAAGGTTCGCGAACAATCAAATGCTGAAGTCGCACCAGAGGTTCCTGAAAAATTACAAAGCGCAGTGGCTCATCAGGAATCCCGTCTTAATCAGTTAGAGCAACAGCGCGCGACCATTGTCAGTATGTTACAACGCGGCAAAGATCTTCTGAAAGATCAACACGCCCCGCCTTTCGTCTCTTCTGAAGTTCAGCAGTTGGAAGCCAACTGGAACGACACGTATGGTCAAAGTATGGAAACATTGAAGTCTTTGAGGGACTCGCAGAGACTTTGGAACACCTATCAAGAACAAAAGGAAGAGATTTTGAGATTGATCGCGCAAGCCGAGAAAGAACTGCGTCAAATCGAATTAGCATCTTATTACGATGCCGCTCAAGTATCTTCTGATCTGCAAAAGAAACAGGAATTCAATGCAAATCTGAGAAAATCAGCCGAGGAAATGATGAGGAAATTACGTGAAACATATACTAATCTTTCTCAAACGCTCACACCACCAAGCAAGAAAGAAATTCTGGAAAAGGAAGTGACGGAAACCGAACAGAAGATGGAGCACACACTGAAAATCGTGCGCGAGAAAGTTGTTTATCTTCAGGAACATAGCAATCGATGGAATAAATTTCAATCAAAGTTCACGGAGCTCCGATCCTGGATTCAACAAACTGCGCCCCAATCAGTCGCAGATATTGAAGATTCCACAGCCTGGCCTGAGGAACGAGTTCGTAAGACGGAAAATCTGCAGAAAGAGATAAAGGACAAGACGTCGATTTTACATACATTGGAAGACGAATCCCGGAAACTCATAAAAGGTAAATATACCATTTTTTGTTTGTTTAGATTAAATTAAAAACATATACAATTTTTGTTTTCCTGTCATATCATTTTGGTTATTTGCTATATGTATACATAATTTTTAGATAGGATATTTCTGCTATTCCTATCGTATAAATTCAGTGCTCGGAATTATTTGCACTTCTGGCCGGATTTTTGAGACAAACGCCTATTTTTGTCCCCTTGTCGCGCGCACTCCAGCGACGGTCAGTTTACTTCTCAATAGTGGGACGTGTATCAGGAGCAGCCCTGTTTCAAAAGCGCAGTATTATCATAGTTCCTCCAACATTTTTGAGAAACTGTTATAATGCTATACATGTTTTTTCAATTTATTTTAAAATACTTCTATTTAACTAATTATAATTGTAAACCCTGCTTAAAAGATTCGATAGAATTAAGAAAATGTCTATATAATTCTATCGTGTTGTTCATAAATATCCGATTTGTTGTCAGACATTTTTAATAAATGTTCTATCATTTTTGCTTCCTCGTAGAGGAAGCTTTGTTTTCGTGAAAAAATTTTTTTTCCAGTTTTCTTTGAAAACATGTTTAGAATGTTCTAAAACGTCAAAAAAACACATTCAGAAAAATGTCAGTATGTATGTATGTATGTATGTATGTATGTATGTATGTATGTCTGTATGTATCCTTACAACGTGACTCTAAATAACTTTTTAAATATGTAAGATGGAGAAAAATGTTAAACATGAAAGTTGTACGGTTTCAAGCAATGCATTACATAGTAATATAAATATGACCTTGAACAACTTCCTCAAGGTCACGTAAAGATGACCTTGAAATTTTTAAATGGAACCCCTTTTTTTAATACATATTCTTATAGCTTACCTCAAGAGCTTTCCAAAACACTAAATACATTATATTTTCGTTAGGTACTTTCGGAGTTATGTGCTTTTGAATTGTTTCGTGAAAAAATTTTTTTCCAGTTTTCTTTGAAAACATATTTAGAATGTTCCAAAACGTCTAAAAATCACATTCAGAAAAATTTTGGTATGTATGTATGTATGTATGTATGTATGTGTGTATGTATGTATATATGTATGTTTGTACGTATCCTTATAAGGTAACTTTAAATAACTTTTTAAATATGTAAGATGGAGAAAAATGTTAAACATGAAAGTTGTACGGTTTTAAGTAGTGCATAACATAGTAATATAAATATGACCTTGAACAGCTTCCTCAAGGACACGTAAAGATCACCTTGTTAAATATGTAAGATTGAAAAAAGTGTTAAACATGAAAGTTGTACGGTTTCAAGTAATGCATTACATAGTAATATAAATATGACCTTGAACAGCTTTCTCAAGGTCACGTAAAGATCACCTTGAAATTTTTAAATGGAAACCCGTTTTTTTAATGCATATTCTTATAGCTTATCTCAAGAGCTTTCCAAAACACTATAATAAAGTATATTTTCGTTAGGTACTTTCGGAGTTATGTGCTTTTGAATTGTTTTTGAAAAATGTCTGTGGTGGTTGTAACTATCGCAAATTATCTTTAATAATGATTTCCAAAAATTTCAAATGTCTATAACTCAAGAACTAATTAGTTCTTGAGTTATAGACAAGAACTAATTAATCATATTTTAATGAATCATATATGAAATTTTTATAGAAAAAACTGAAGAACAATATAATATAT